TTCCTATTTGTTTGTTTGTCATATTTATATAGCTGCCCTTCTTACACAAGGTGACTCCGGGCAGCATACAACAATTAAAAAATAAATGCATAAAAACAATTACACATAAAAAACTGTAAAAACACAAAACAGGATGGGATAAAATTAATAAGGGAGCCATTGTAAAATCTCCCCAGTCTCCTGGGAGCCCCAGGCCTGATCACATAACCAGGTCTTGAGGGACTACATATTTCTGTAGGCCATATGGCATTTTTAACAGAGGGTGCTCCTTGCCTCTTGAACAAGAGCCTAATCCTCCCTGGCCTCTCTCTTTGTAGGAAGAGAAGGGGAACGACTACTCTCTGCCTCCTCTTTATCTGCAAAGATGCATGCTTTCAGTCCTTCTGCGCAGGATGATGTGCAAGAAATGCCTTCTCAGGAAGGGATGGGGTTCTTCTGAGAGAAGCTTCTATAGACTAGATGTGGAAGCTTCACTCTTGCCCTGTAAGGAGGTCTCTAGACAACCTGGAGCAGCAGAACTCCTGTAGGTCTGTTCAGATCTTTTCAGGTGGAGTTTCAGCAGTGGGAAGAGAGTTAAGGCACCCTCTCCCTTGTCCCCGCTAGCTTTCTTTTAGTCTCAAGGACAACAGTCAGCTCTTATAGCCATATATGAGAGGGAGGAACAGCTGTAAGAGATATTCTAAATAAGTATTTCTTACAATCTTTAATAATCTAATGTAATAAAAAATAGTTATGATGGTCCACAAACCAAACAATTAACAGAGGACATAAGGTTAATATAGCTAAAGCAAGCTGACCAATTCCCTGATATGACCTTGAGAAGACTAATTTCCTCATTTCCATTGTTCTATGTGCCTTTATTTTGTTTCAACATGGGTTTTACAAATCACATGCCATATCTCACTGCTCATAACCATATATTGAAGTAATAGACTTGCATTGTCTGCCTTTCCTCTGACACTTTTCGACTCACCCCTCAAACTTCAGTGGCATCAACATTTTGTAAACTTGTGTGTGTGTGTCGGTGGGTTAGAAATAGTTGTTTTAATTTACAAGCAGGGATACTCTTGCCTGCTTTTGAAGTAGCCCAATTACATAGGACTAATCTTATTTTTCAGAGGCCCCATTTTCTTTCCAAATTTAAAGGCGCTGAATTATATTAGATGGAACATATAAGAAACAATACAGAAATGATCTATATGCTAGGATCATGACTGAATTTGGAATCTCTGACACCCTAAAGGCTAATGCAGCATAAATGCAGGTAAAACCATTTTTAAACATTTTCTTTATATATTGATGTAAAATAATACCTCTTTATCCTTTTTACTCTTCTTTATTTTCATCTTAATTTTCTTTCCTGTGATCATACTGTAGTTATGATTCTTCTTTTTATCTTTGAGATACTAAAATAATACATTATTATGGTCCATAAATAAATATGTGCATTTTAAATTATATCAATAAAGATTTATATATTATATTTCCCTTTTTAGTGTCACAGCAATCACAAGGAAGTGTGAATTTGTGATGAATAAAACCTGATTAAAAAGAATATGAAACCAGAGCTAACTGATGTTCTCCAAACAAAAGAACGCTGTTCCCAAGGAAACAAAAAAGAGGAAAGAGATTTTTTTTCCACAGGAACAAGATCCTCCCCCCATTTTTTTATTTAGTTGTTTGACCTTAGGCAAATTTTAAATACATTTGAGAAATGGAAAGTATGGCATATTAAGTAGCAAGGATAGGGTATATATATCTGTAGCTTGGTTAGCCAAAGTAATGGAGCATGAATATAGGACTCTAAATTTACTTAGAAGAAAGAAACTGCAACACAAAGCCGTGAATCAAGTAAAAGTATATCATAGCTTTTTCCCCTATTTTCTTTGGGATGTATAAAACCAGAGTCCTGACTTGCATGTTCACTAAGCTGAGTTAACATGGATGTCTTACTAGCTCCACTTACTAACACACACAGTGCTAGCAAACATTGTCATCACTGAGAAAGCCTTCTAGCTTAGCATGACATGTAAATTAATCCAATGAAAATAATGATTTGTGCTCACAAATGTTAAGATGTTTGGTATATTCCAGTGCTGATCTTAATTTCCCATACACATTTTTGGGCAGAACACAGCTGTTGACAAGAGTAATCCTGCGCCTTTCAGTTCTTCACCTTTCTGCCTCCCTCAGTGCCCCAGTTCCAATATACCAGGGGCAAACATTTCAGAGATTTCCATAGGGTCTTGGAAGGTTATTCTATCATCAGATCTCCAGCTCCAAAAAAAGCTCTCTCTCTCTCCCTCCTCAGAAGAGCTACAGGTAGTCCTCACTTAATGACCACAATAAGGACCAGAATTGGTTGTTAAGGGGTGCAGTCATTAAGCGAGTCACCATGTGACTGGACCTGATTTTATGACCATTTTTACGATAGCTGTAAAGCGAATCACGCAGTCATTAAGCAAATCATATGGTCATTAAGTGAATCCAGCTTCCCCAATGAATGTCTGTTGCCGGAAACTGGCAAAAAAGGTTGCAATTTGCGACTGCGTAACCATAGGATGCTGCAACTGGTTGTAAATGCAAGCCAGCTGCCAAGCACTGAATTGCAATCATGTGACCATGGGGGTGGTGCAATGGTTTGCAACAGTCATAACTGCGAGTACAGTTGTAAACACTTTTCCAAGGCCGTCGTAACTCTTGACCATCGTTAAATGAACAGTCATTAAGTGAGGACTACCTGTAATCTAGTCTATGACTTAGATAAAATATGGTCTTGCTCTCTCACTGATCACAGAATTGGAGCTTTCCAAAACAATGTTCAAATCACAGGAAAAAACAGGGGATCTGAGTATAGTCCAGGACAGAGGTAGGAAACTTGGTATCCTTTGTATTTGTTAATTTCAACTGCTATCACCTAAACACCAAATGCTGAAGTACTTTTATGGTATATATTTAATTACCTATAATTCATTTCCATAATCTAGAATTATAGTTAACTTTCACTGGAATAAAAATTAAAATAAATAGCTCAAAGCTAATACCAAGTGACATGATGCCCTTGCTTTCCTGATGTAACTGTTTCATGGAACTCAATCTGGTTTATGTAACTCAATCTGGTCATTCTTTCTGTTGAAATTCATTCTGCTCTATCACATCTGACACTCTAGTGGTATGGCTACAGTGTCAGATCAGATTAATGAGACTGGATTGAAATCTCTAATTTAGACATTACGTTCACTGAATGACTCTGAGTCAATCTACTGTTTAAATCTAACTGCACAAACTGTTCATTAGTTTTGAGGGCTAAAAGGTGGGGAGAGAATCAGGTGTGCCATCCTTGAGTTACTTGGAGAAATGGGCCGAAAAGAAAAAAGATCACCATAAAATAGCATAAGAGTAAGATACAGTCTGAGAATTACAGAAAACAGGTAATCAAAGACATTCCATTCACTTTTCACAGACTGTCTAATTCTGAGGAGATGAAGAACAGAGGCTTTGCATTCAGTTTTGCACTTACTTTAGAAAGTTGTACAGGACCCGATTTCTCTTTCTTTCTCTTCTTTTCTTTCTTTTTTTTCATCTTCTCTTTTTTCCTTTTCTAATAAAAAATAAACAGATACCTGACAATTTGATTATGTGCTATCAAGTTGTTATTGACTCTTAGCAGCCACATCGACAATCTGTCCCTAACCTGGTCCTTCAGCTCTTCCAACACTGCACCCCTTGCCACTGTAACTGAGTCTATCCACCTTGCTGCTGGTCATCCTCTTCTCTTTCCTTTGACCTTTCCCAGCATTACAGCCTTCTCCAGAGAGCTAAGTCTTTGCATAATGTGTCTGAAGTGGGATAATTTGAGCTTGTTCATTTGTGCCTCGAGTGAGAACTCTGGGTTGATGTGTTCGATGATGCATTTGTTTTCTTGGCTGTCCATGGTATTCTCAGGA